TTTCGCAAGCAGGTGCCTCATTATTACAAGCCAAAAAATACTTCCTCCTAATTGTTTGACAACTAGGTTCCACACCATTGTCAATGTAGTCAATAAATGAGAAAATTACACAACGAGCGGATAACACCAGGGACCCAGCAGCTCGCCCAGTTGTTTTTCAGTTTCAGAGACGGAGCTCAACTGCGCGCTGTGCGGGGCTGTGGCCCGTCTAGCCCACACTTACGCTTTTATTAAGCACATGACGAGCCCAGTTGATATATTTTTTCTTTCTGAAATTGGCTAGCCCAGTTCTTTTTTTTGGAGAATACCAAAACCGAGGCCTACTTGCTTTTCTCAGCCCTGCTGGGCCAAATCTTTCAACAAGAGTAGGGATGTAAGTAGTAAGAAATGGGCTTCCCCACAAAACGGGCTATAAGTTGTAAGAAATGGGCTGTAAATTTTTAAACCAAAGCCAACCGACAATTGCATTAAAATATCTTTTTTTTCAGGATTTCTCTACTCTCTACTCTTATAAAAACCAAAGCCAACTGGCAATTACATTAAAATATCATCTTTTCTCCCACAAGACAAACTACTCATACAAATGCATCCTCATGTTCCGTGCAACAAACGGGCATCTTGCTAGTTAAGATTCTAAATTTCATTCATTTTCTTGCGGAGAATTGTTTTTTGAATTTTATTTTGATATAATGTTTTGAGAATTATTTTTAACGTGACTCGAAATTTCGTGATTAAAAGAGTTCGGACCCCACCGAAATATGCAAAATTTTGTTGAATTTTTTTAGCAGTGCCCAGAATATATGGTCTGTAACGCTAATAAAAAGAATATGGGCTTCAAATATTCTTAAGAATTAGCAAATGGGCTGTAAATTATTGAAAATAATGGCTAATGGGTTGTATGCTATTTTCCACAGATTTGGAGGCTGACTTCTGGGCCTACTAGGTTGACGATGACGCTGTCCTAATTTTTTTTTTGACGCGTACGCAAGGCTTTGTCAACTTAGTCAACACACAGCAGTGATTGTTGGATGTCCATCCAACGGCCTTCATGCTTCTTCAATCTCTGATCTTCCTGCTCCAGCCGCCCAAACTAGCGCCGACGGGACTGCCTGCTCACTCTCGCGGGACTGGCTGTGCTGCCGCCAGGCCATCCCTCTAACCACCCACACATCCTGTTATTGGCGACGTCAGCCTCACCCCGCAGCCGACCAGTCAGCGCTCGTTCTCCCCTCAGCATGGGCATCCGCTGTGGTGGCTTCGCCGGCTCCGGGTGGTTCTCTTCCTGGGCCTCGCCCCTGTCCATCGTGTTTGTGCTCTTGGCCTGGCGAGGTCAACATGGTCAACAAACAACAACCATCGGAAGAGGATGACAGTAGGGGCCCACACAGGAAAATGCCTCCTTATTACGCGCAAAATAATGATTCCTCCACCTGATAGCTGGGACCCACCGGAAGGGCCTCTGTATTTCGCGAAAAAAACGTTCCCCTGAAAGTGCAACTATCCCCGGTGGTTTTGGTAATTTATAACAACATATAGCTCATTGAGCTAATGCTATTCCAAGACAAATATTTCAGGAAAGCTCAATGAATGGCATGGCATGGATGATGAAAGTGGATCCCTCAAAATATTAAGGACAAACGATTGGCTCAAGCTCAAAAGCTCAAGACTCTACATTTTACATTTTTAGTGATCCAAGATCACATTGAGTCTATAGGAAAAGCCAATACTATCAAGGAGGGATGAGGTGTTGCTTAATGAGCCTCTTGCTTCAAGTGCTTAGTGATATGCTCCAAAAACCCTCAACTACTTTCTCACATCCACATATGACCAAAACCCAAAGTCAAATCGGTCCCACCGATTCTTTCTATTCGGCGCCACCGAGTTCAAATGTCATAGCCACTGCCACAAACCTTAGGCAAATCGGTCTCACCGATAGGGATCTCGGTCTCACCGAGATGGGATTGTAATCTCTATGTTTCCCTTCGTAACATTTCGGTCTAACCAAAGTGAGCGATCGGTCCCACCGAGATTGCAATGTAAACTCTCTGTTTCCCTCAACGGTGCTGATAGTTGGCCCCCACCCGACAACGGCGCCGCGAATGCAAAGCTCGGGCCAACCGGTGCCGCGGGCGCAACATAGACCCCTGGCCAGCCTGACTGGTCGCCTCATATGCACCGGCTCACGCAAGTGTGAGACACACCCCACCTATCGCGACCGGACCGGCCCTGCGTGGAACGAGGTCGCCGACAGGTGGGTCCAGCTCACCAGTCGGGCGTGAGACAACGCGCGAGCTCCGCTGCCCAATGACGGTGGCCCAGGGCGCACCCTCGGTCCACCGTCATGGATCGTGGAGGTGGATCTCCTTGGCGCGCGCTGTCGGGGAAGATCAGACAGCGCGGAGAGCCCCCAAGAGCCCCTCGTCGGACGCCAGCCGGAAACGGACAGTGCGAAGGCTCTGTTCGCCCTCGAAGCTCCCCAAGAGGTGGGTACTCCGGCATCCCTTATAGGAGTAATGATACACACGAACTAAGAAAGTGAGTGTGTCCTGATTACCGAAAAAGGCTTTCGCCCCGCTTTATAAATAAAGCAAACCGCCAAGGACATACAAACAGAGTCAAGTCCACACACACTCACGCACCCAAGTCTCACGAACAAGTACACAGGTTCTGCTGAGGGCACAGCTCAACAAGCCCAAACAAAAATAAAAAAGGCAGCAAATGCCGGACGAAGAGGATGTCTAGTCCGGCTCTGGCGGAGGCGGCGGGGGCGGCGGCGACAGGCGGACGGCCATCGATCGAAGGTCGGCGATGAAGGCTGAGATGGCGTCGCGGTCCAGGGGACTGCTAAGCGGCCGCCAAAGCTGCAAGAAACCCGAGAGTTTGAAGAGAGAGTCAGTAGACCGACGAAGAGGAGTGCGCTGAATCACGAGCTTATTGCGAACAGTCCAGAGGGTCCAGGCGAGGACCCCAATCTCAAGCCACCTAATGTGGCGAGAAGCCGCGGGGGACGACTGGAGTTCGTCAAATAAGTCAGGGAAGTTGGTGTGGCACCAATTTCCACCGACCATTTCGCGAAAGCAGCTCCAGAGGAACTGGGCGGACACGCAGGAGAAGAAAATGTGGTTCGAGTCTTCGGGAACCCCACAGAGTGGGCAGAGGCCAGTGCCCGGGCCATTGCGCTTGCGTACCTCCACCCCGGACTGGATCCGGCCACGAATCCATTGCCACATGAAGATACGGATCTTCAGCGGCAAGCGGATGAACCACACCATCGAGAGAGGGAGGGGGGCGGCAGATGGTGCGATGGCCAGGTAGAGAGATTTGGTGGAGAATTGGCCAAGGTTCGAGGCGTCATCGAACTAGGTCAGGCCCACCACCCAGCGAGGGTTCGTGGAGAGCAATACAGTCGAGGGTGTCTGGCGTGGGTGTCCTGATTCAAGTTCTCAGGAATGAGAATGTTAGTTCATATTCACATCATCAGTTTTCTTTCAAAAAAGACCAACCACCGGCAAGATTACACGAGAGAGAGAGAGACGAGAAAGAGAGAAAGAAAGAAGCAAGATACTCAATGCGTGAGTTTGCTTTCTTTTATATACCTACTAATAAAAGAAATAGGTATTCTTAGTATGTTTTGCTATTTTTATAAAAAATCCCCTAATGTTTTTGACATTGAACCTGCAGTACATATCAAATGTTTTTTAAAATACTCATATCTTATAAACCGACTCCAAATTTGACATGTTATATATGAAATTTGATTAGAAAAATATCTAGAATCTGAATATGATGTTATTTTACCTGTTAGCAATTTTAAAAAAAATTATAGAATCTGAATATGATGTTATTTTACCTGTTAACAATTTAGAAAATACTATCTAAGCCGCAATGCTAATCCACAATGCATTTTCCGTCTTTTTTTCGTACCGGTACTGATTCAGATTGGGATTAACACCTCAAGAAAATCAGGACTGGACATGAAATTGAAGATAAATTGGCTAGAGACACCCAGTAAATAAAGACATGCATGACAAGAAATAAAAGGACCCAATGAAGATGGGATGTCCGTTATAAAAAAAGTAAAAGAGAAAATGCAGAGGAAATCCGATAAAGATGATATGTTGCGCTATTCTCCTATATATAAGAAAACAAAAAAGGACATGCATGAGAAAAAGTAAAAAGGAGGCATGCATGACAGGAAAATAAAATAAAAGACACGTTTGATAAAATATAAATAGTGATGAAATAGGGGTCAATACCTATGACATGTATGGCAAGAAATAGTGATGAAATAGGGGCGCAAATACCTGCATCCACATGAGACCATACAAAAATGTTCTTTTACAGACAAAAAAAATCTCTTTTTATGATTAAAAAATTATGTATTTTTTAACAGCCTTTTAAAAACTCTTCATGTATTTAAGAAATATGCATGTGAAAAAAATGTTCAAGAGTTACCTAAGTTGGCGATTCTTAAACTGAAAACTGCCATTAATGCACACATGTCTCCGTAGTGTGCTAATGTGTCATCATTTGTTTTTGTCATTTTTCTTTACTCGCCCGTAACAACATTCCATTCCGAACATGACATGAACAAATGCATGATCACTTGCCGTTTCTTTGTACGGATTAAATCTCATGCAAGCTATGTTGAAATAGAACACCTGTAGAATTTTAAATTGCGTTTTTATATGTTCAGACCATCTTTGTTTTGGACGTAGCTAAAATTCTCAGATTATAGATGATTTTTTTAAAAAAATTATTCTTCTGCTGCAACACACGGGTCTTTTTCTAGTAACAACGGAGAAAATTAACGCGCAGAAAAGAAACCAAGGGAGAAAATAAACGGGGAGGGAAACGGGGAGACGGACGCAGGAGACAGAGGATAGAAAAGTGACGACGCGCTTCCTCCGTGAGCTGTGACCGTCGTCCAGAAGAAAACCCCCTTCCGCCCGCATCGCACCTCCGGGACCCTGACGGACGCCGGCCGAGGAAGCCCCCGAATTCAGGTCTCTCTCTTCCTTCGCTTCTTCCCTTCTTCGTCCCGTTGCCGCAGATCGCGCGCTTGGCATCCTCACTTCTTCTTCTGGACTCTGGAGTAGAGGGGTTTTCAGGCTCCCACTTTCTCATTTTTCATTTTTAACGAAACAGGGATTCAGGGTTTTGCGCTGCAAGTTCATCTTGGCTTTCTTTCGTGGTCGGTCGACGGGTAGATTTTTAATCGATCTGCTCGGGCAGTGGGATTTCTACTTCTTGTTCTCTCTTCTTTATTTATTTTCGCGAGTAATGATTTTCACGAGCCGAGCCGTGGTAATTATTTTTCACCAAGATTGGCTCTGCCTCTCAAGATTCTGCACGTTCTTAAGCCTCATCGACAATGTGCTGCTCCCCGCGGAGTAGGAGTAATTTAGTAGCAGCGCGGGGGTATTCACTTACCCTTTCTGGCTTTTCCCCACTATTTCTCCAAGCCCCCAAAACCCTCTTTTCCCCTCCTCCTCTTCTTCTTCCTCTGCTCTGCGCCCGGATTCTGCTTTGCTTGTTGGTGATGCTAGGTATCTCGAGGACCCAAGCACACAATTCATCTCCCCCTCTGTTTATTTTGCTCTTTGTTTTGTGTTCTTAGTTATTGTCGCTCTATGCTTCTGCCCTATCTTTGCTCCTGATCGTTCTTCGGTCTCTACTCTACTGAGTGTTGCCCGTCGTCGAGGCCCTCTGCGCTATCTTGATTCCTTCTCCTTCCGTTGCCTTCACTTTACCCTATCTGTTTTGTGTCGTATTTTGCATCATCTGCTTCTACCTTTACCTGACATGTGGTATGATTTAATCTCACTTCCAGAGGAGAAGAGAAGAGGAAGGGGCAGATCTATCATCTATGGGCAACTGCAAGAGTTCATGTATGTAGCTCTCTTATAAACTGAAAGTTAGGTGCAATTTACAGCATTAATTCCTTGGCAAAAGTCAGGGTAAGAAGATGAAATCCTAGCTCTGAATTGAAGAGCACTTGCTCTCACCATCATGCTCATAAATTAGCAAGATGCCTAGCTAGTCATGTGTTGAGTATATCACTCTCCTTATCTAGAAACACAAAGCTGTTTGAGTGCTGGTCTTGATGTCTTATTGGTTAGAAGCAATACTACAATGCTAATGACATAGTACTAATGTACTATAAGCAAGTACCTGAATGATATCTTGTTGATTGGAAACACAGTGTCTTCTGCCTTATTCTACCCCTGATTGGTGACATGAATAAATATGTGCATCCAAGATTTTGATTCATTTATTAATCAGAAGATAAAAAACTTATATGCGTGTATCCCATTCTTGCGGTTGTCGATATTGTAGTTTGTTTATTTGCATCTGCAACATGCACATGAATTTTATCATAGCATGTTCTCTCTTTCTTTGTTTTGTAATTTTGAGTTATTGCATTTGTGCAAATATCAGCTCGTGCACTGCTAGGAAAAGCCCATGTTGTTCCGGATGCTGAATGGAGGATGCAGGATTTTGGAAAGACCCATGTTCCAGATCTAGAATGGAGAATTCATGACTTCTCATCGCTGCTTGAGACGGGAGCTAAGGCAGCAACATCTGCCACTTTTCACTGCTCTGGGTATAACTGGTATGCACCATAATTGCAAAAGAAACTCCGCAAAATTCAGGTATTAGATGTACTAGTATGTATATACACGTGCAATGCACAAGGAGTGATTTTGGTAAAAGAAATAAAAAAAGGTCAGAGATTAGCTAATAGATTCGGGCAAAAAGAAATATAGTGATCTACGCATGCAGATATTAATTAAGTAGGAATTAATATTCGTTCCTCCTGCAAAAGAAAAGAATTAATATTCATACAAAAACTGTACATTCACATCTAAAACAACTATAGGTTCATGTAGAAAAGTTGTATGTTACTCTATTTTCTTTTTCTTCCCATTCTCCTCCCAAACCATCATGCCTGGGCTCAAGTCGTCATGCGCTCAAGCGGCACTGCGGCAAGCTGGCAATATGGCCCATGAGGCACCACATATAGGCTTCTTTTTTATGGAAGGGCCACACGAATGCTCTAGAACACAGAAGAGGCAATAGCAGTCTACGGTTATGATTGATGCTCTAGATCCAATTCAAAACCGGTTCACTATATAGTAGTGGAGAAATTCCATCTAGTTTGTTTTAGTAGAAAAGGTAATTATATGTTATCCATATACACATTGATTTAGGATGCCATTTACTCATAATGATGTTTCGCTGTAAACAAATTAGCAATCACAATCTCATAAACAAACAGCCAGACGCTAAAACTTGATATGGTGCAGGAAGTGAAGAAATTAGACTTTCCTACTTCAGTTATGATTCTAGACTGACTTTGACTTCTTGGCATGATTTCATTTACCAGGCAGCTGCAAGTGATTCCAATGCATAAAGAAACTGGTTCTGAAACGCCATATGTTGCTCTTCGTCTTATGACATCCCCAGAAAGGATGGTGCCAGGTCACACGATGCATGTGGTTTTTGAATTGTCAATATACAACCATTCAAAAGGAATGCACTGTGGATGCAAAGGTAGTCTCATGGACGTGTTTTTTCAAGCACATCCATCATATTACAGCTACATCCATACTCTATGTGTCATAAGTTTGAGGTATAAATACCATGATTCCATCATTACAAGTTAATATCTGTAAATATCGAAATATGATCAAATACAACGTTTTCACATTAACAAGTCGCTTTGTACTTGCTTTGCTGTCAAGTTTCCCTGTAGACCTTCAGGAATTTGGATGGTTCAGATGGCATACACATGTTTCTCACTTGAGACACTACAAGTTTTTCTGTAGACATTACAAGTTTCACACTTGAGACTATTATGTTCAGATGGTATACACATGTTGCTCTTTAAATTTGATTATCATCATTTGGATGTAATTCACTACCTTGCTTTCTTAGCTTGGGTAAAGGTTGGTTAGATATTATTTGGTATATTTGCGTCTTGCATACAAGTTCTTCATTCTCTAATATTCTAACCTTTACCGAACCGCAGCTAGCTACAACTTTCATTTCAAGAATAGCTACTCGAAGGAGCATTGCTTGATTCCTCTTCAGGAGCTACTGAAATCATCTGCTTTTCTAGTTGATGATAGTTGTGTCTTCGGTGTGGACATATTAAAAATTGATGTCTCTTCTCCTGAAAAGAAGGCTGTTGTGGTTCAGAAGAAGGCTACCACAGTTCAGAACCTCTTCGTCCAGAAGAAGGAGTTCGTCAAAGGGACATACACTTGGAACGTGAACAACTTCCTTGAACTGGACACGGATAACTTTGTCCGTTCTCCTACATTTGAAGTTGGCGAGCATAAATGGTATGCACCTGTTACATCACAAATGATTTATATAAATGGTATGCACCTGTTACATCACAAATGATTTATATAAATGGTATGCACGTATTATCCAACATTTTAGCTTATATGTGTCCTTTAACTTACCATACCTAGTCACTTTACGAACTTCTTTTTTAATGTTTTATGCCAACGGACATTAGCAATTGCCAGATCTTTTTGCAAGGCAAGGTCCTTCAGATATTTTAACTGGACAGTTTAGCTTGATATAACCAAAGAAGTGTACTTCTAGTATATTTACAGATATGTGTAGCGCATTCCAGTTTACGGAAAAAGGCTTTCGCCCTGCTTTATATATGAAGCAACAATCATGCATACAACCAACCACCCAACACACGACACCAACACACACAACACACACACACCCAAGGCAAGATACAAGGGTGCCACACAACACCACATCACCCAAACGCCACCAAGCACACTAACGATAATAATAAGACTGCTTGGAGATGGCGGTGACCTTCACTATGAGCTAGCCACCGTGAATAAATGACGCCGACCCACAACGTAGCAAAGACTAAGAAGGTGCCTCCAAGAAGGGCACGACATCAGAGTGTCGCCACCATCCTATCCAGAAGATCAAGTTTTCACTCGGACTAAACTGGAGGAGACGGCACCAGCCGCGACGGAGCCTTCAGGATAGGAAAGACGCTCGCGGATGCCGCCACCGTTAGCCGGCCAAAGAACCGTGCAGGTAATGCACCCCAGCGCTCATCCATCTCCACCAAACCACCACGCCAAACATCGACCATCAACAGCAATGCCACCTGTGTGGCCATGGCTGCCCGCACGCACCCGAGACGCGTGCTTCGCCCACGAACACCGCGCCTCCCGCCGCCAAGGCCGCCGTCCTGCAACCAGACAACCCCGAGACCACACAGAGGCCCCGGTTTTGGCCCAACCAGCAGACCCTGATCGACGGAGTCACCAGCAGACGCTCCGCCCAAACATGGGCAGACCTGCGCCAACCCACCCGTGACCGAGGAAAGGGGGAGAAGGAGGAGCGGACACATCCGGACCGGCACACCCCTGTGCCGGCGACAGGTGACACGACCGCATCGAGGCCACCCATCCCTCCTACCGAGCTCCCCACCAAACACACCCCGTGTCGCCCCACCATGGCAGCAGGCACAAATCCCCGCGAGGCCACCAGCAATCACGCGCCCACCGACGAGGGATAGCAAATCAACCCGCATCAGCAGCCAAGGGAGCTCACCGGAGATGCCTCCTCGCGCTGCCCGCCCACCAGCCGCCGGAGCAACCAAAGCGGACGAGCCCGCCGCCCACCACCACCGCAACACCAGCGCCTCCACGCCCTGGCCAGATCCAGCCGGAGCCCCACCACTCCACCGGAGCAGACGGACACTAGCTGCATCACCACCACCTTAACAGGCCCTGTAAAAGTATTTGGGAAGCGTAGAACCCTTTGTCTCGGGCCGCATGTATATATTGAGGCAAAGCCTTGGCATACAAGTTACAAGGGGAGGTCGATGGAACGATCTGGAGATCGACCGGATAGGTCGTTACAGGAGAATCGGGAACAGAAGAAAGGATAGAGCTAGATACAGAATTTGAACAAAGACTTCTATCCCTATACGTATATTCCAACACTCCCCCTCAATCTAAACCTCAAGGAGCTTTGCCAAGGTTGAGATTGTACTTGAAGTCATTCAACCTTCTTTCGGTAAGAGGTTTTGTAAAACCATCTGCGAGCTGATCTCCTGTAGGAATGAACCGAATTTCCAGAAGCTTTCGAGCTACTCTTTCTCTGACAAAGTGGAAATCAACTTCAATGTGTTTTGTTCGTGCATGAAAAACAGGATTTGCTGAGAGATATGTTGCACCAATATTATCACACCACAATCTCGCAGCCTGTGGAGTTTTAACTCCAAGCTCATACAGTAACGTTTGTATCCACATCACTTCAGCTGTAGCATTAGCCAAGGCCTTATATTCAGCCTCTGTGCTTGACCTAGATACTGTGGCCTGTTTTCTTGCACTCCATGACACAAGGTTAGTTCCCAGAAATACAGCAAAACCACCTGTAGATCTTCTATCATCAGCACACCCTGCCCAGTCAGCATCAGAATATGCAGTAACAAGCATAGAAGAAGACTTGGTAATGTTGAGACCAAGACCTTCTGAGAACTTGAGATACCTTAAAATTCTTTTAACTGCAGTCCAGTGAGTAGTTCTAGGTGCATGTAAATATTGACATACCTTGTTCACTGAATAAGATATATCAGGACGAGTGAGTGTTAAGTATTGCAATGCACCTACAACACTCCTATAGTTTGTTGCATCCTCTGGTCCAAGAACTTCTCCACCTTCCACTGAAAGTTTTTCAGAAGTAGAAATTGGTGTATTAACTGGCTTGCAATTTTCCAATCCTACTCTCCTGAGAATGTCAGTTGTATACTTTTCCTGTGAGAGAAGTATGCCATCTTTAACTTGCTTTACCTCTATACCAAGAAAATAGTGAAGATCACCCAAGTCCTTAAGAGCAAATTCCAGCTTCAGGTCTTTAAGCAAGCAAGTAGTGGCATCTGGACTTGAACTAGCAACAATTATATCATCAACATAAACCAACACAAAGATAGTGACACTGCCTTTATTAAAGAAGAACAATGAGGTATCTGCCTTGGATGGTATGAACCCAAGACGTTGCAACTGCATACTCAGTCTGGAATACCAGGCTCTTGGGGCCTGCTTCAAACCATACAGAGCTTTATCCAACTTACAGACATGTTGTGGTGTGCTAGGATTCTCATAACCTGGTGGTTGCCGCATGAACACTTCTTCCTCAAGAACACCATGAAGAAACGCGTTCTGAACATCTAGCTGTCGTAGACTCCACCCTCTGGAAACAGCAATAGACAACACAAGACGAATAGTAGTTGACTTAATAACAGGACTGAAGGTATCTTCATAGTCAATTCCAAACCTTTGCTTAAATCCCTTGGCAACTAGTCTAGCCTTATACCTGTCTATGCTCCCATCAGACTTTCTTTTGATCTTATACACCCATTTGCAATCAATAACATTGTTTCCATACTTTGGTGGAACCAAGTGCCAAGTCTTATTTTTCATAAGTGCATTATATTCACTATCCATAGCTTCTTTCCAATTCTTATTTGCAAGTGCATCATCCAAATTGAGCGGTTCACCAGTGGTAGTAAGGAATGCACGTTTGATTTTGTCATACCTTATCGTACCATCATTGTATTGTTTTTCCTTAACAATACCTGACCGAGACCGTGTTTGCCGAGGAGTAGATGCAGGCAGCACAGGAGCAGTAGCTGCCACAGAAGATCCAGCCGGTCCATGATCCGAGGCGGATCCATACAGCAGGCCAGCCGGATCAGGCACCTGATCCGATGCGGATCCCTGCCGCGCATGCAGCGAATCAGAAGCGCGCGCCGCGCCCGCCATTGCAGTCCGCCCTCGCTCGAGGACAGCTGGTGTGGGGTCGGACCTGGGGTCGGACCCGCTCCCACGGTCGGTTGTGGTGGAAACCCGCGCCGCGTCCGATTCGCTCCCCCCCGCACGAGGGCTGTCAGCGCGTGGGGACACCGCGGGAGACGGCGAGACTTCATTGGCGCGATGCGATGCGGGACCAGTGGGCTCCACCTGATCAGCGCGGTCGGCCACGAGACCAGGCGAGACCAGGCGCGCGGGAGAACCCTCGTGGGATCGCGCGCCGCCAGTAGGAACCGCAGGCTGGGCAGGCGAATCCGCCTCGGATCGCCCGCTGTCAGCCAAATCTGCCGCGGTTTCCGTGCCTTCCCTGTCTTTTCCTTCACACATAAAATCACAGGGTAATTGTGCACAAATAGCATCAACAAAATCAGAATTTGCATGGGATTTTTGCACATGATCTCGTTCATTTAATTCCCCCCCACTATCAGGTAACATTGGAGGATCAGAGAGGAGGGCAATCTCTGCACGAAGCAAGGCTCCTGCATTGGGATGCAATTTGGAAAACGGAAAGAGTGTCTCATCAAAGATAACATCACGAGAAATATAGATACGTCCGGTAGAAATCTCAAGGCATTTATAACCTTTATGAAGATTACTATAGCCAAGAAAGACGCACTGTGTGGATCTAAACTCAAGTTTGTGATGATTGTAGGGACGCAAATTTGGGTAACATGCACACCCAAATATCTTTAGATAGTTGTAATCAGGTTTTTGATTATATAGACGTTCTAATGGAGTGGTGTTTCCAATAACTTTGCTAGGGAGCCTATTGATAAGATAGGTGGCAGTGATAAAAGCTTCATCCCAGTACTTCAGAGGCATTGATGCATGAGCTAACAAGGAAAGGCCAACTTCAACAATGTGGCGATGTTTACGCTCGGCAGAGCCATTCTGTTGATGAGCATGAGGACAAGAGACATGATGAGCAATCCCAATGCTATGGAAAAAAGAGTGGAGTTTCTCATACTCCCCTCCCCAGTCACTTTGGACAGCAAGAATTTTCCTATCAAATTGACGTTCAACTAGTTTCTGAAATTCTTGGAATATAGAAAAAACTTCAGATTTGTATCGAAGCAAATAAATCCAAGTGAACTTGCTATAATCATCGATAAAACTGACGTAATATTTTTTTCGACCAAAAGAATCTCGGGCATGGCCCCATACATCACTGAAAATAAGCTCTAATGGAGCATGAGACATACTAGTTGACTTGGGATAAGGAAGCTGATGGCTTTTGGCACATTGACAAGCTTCGCAAATAGACTCAGAAGCTATACTAGGAGACAAAGAAAGTTTGTCTTTATTGACTATTTGTTTGACAATGATCGAAGATGGATGCCCTAATCGTTGATGCCACCGTGCCAAGGAGGGCTTGATGACGGAGTAGACGTGACGACGCTTGCGACCTAATGCTCCGGATGGAATGGGGTAGAGGCCGCCAATGCATCTACCGTGATGAAGTAGTTCCCTCGTTGCCCGATCCTTAATGAAAAAATAACGAGGATGAGTTTCAAAGAAAACATTATTGTCGGTGGCTAGTCTAGACATAGAAGCAAGGTTTTTGTCAGCTTGAGGGACATGAAGCACATCTCTAAGAACAAGATTACGTTTGAGTGTAGGGGAATTAATAGAACTTTGACCGATATGACAAATATCCATACCTCCGCCACTGGCGGTGTGAATCTGATCGGCGCCATGGTAGCGCTCATGGAGGGCAAGTTGCTCGAGCTCGTTTGTCACATGATCCGTAGCGCCAGAGTCCACGTACCAGACACCGTCACCACCCTGCTCACGCATGGCAGCCGCAACATGGCGATCCGAGGGCACAAAATCCTCATCGTAGCGATGCCAGCAGTCAATCACCTCGTGACCAGACTTTTTGCAGAGCTGGCATCGGGGGCGCGGACGTGAAGAAGGGCGGCGGCCATTGTTGTTGTTGAAGCCGCCGCTGTTGCCGCTGGTGTTGTAGCTGCCCCCGCCATGGGAGCCAGAGCCCCCACTGGAGCGTGCGCCTTCTCCTGAAGAGGCGCCGCGTCCGCGCCCGCCGCCGCGCTACCCCTGGTGACCGCGCCCACGGCCGCGGCCACGAGAGACGGAGTTGACGGAGGACTGCCGAAGATCGCCGCCGTGGAGGAGGGTAAGGCGGGCATCAAAACTGAGCAGCTGGTTGTATAGGTCTTGGACGGTGATGGGTTCCACCCTGGCGGCGAGTGCAGAGACCACCGGGTTGTACTCCATATCCAAGCCGGCAAGAATTTTGGAGACAATCTCCGGATCAGATAAGGCCGAAGCCGTGCTTGCGACTTCATCAGTGAGACTTTTGATCTTACCAAGATAATCAGCCATGGACATATTACCTTTCTTGAGGTTGGTGAGCTCGATGCGAGTGTTTATCGCTTGAGCTTGGCTCTGAGCAGCGAACATGGCGTGGATGGTGTTCCACACCTCGGCCGGCGTCTGGAGCGTGGCGACCTGGGCAAGAATCTCACGGGAAAGTGAACCCATTAAGTATCCTTGGAGTTGTTGCTGCTGTGCATACCAGAGGGATCTCGCAAAGTTGACGACTTGTTCCTCTTTGCCTTCCTTGGTGATGGTGAGGGTGGCTGGCGGGGGCGGGCTCGTCGCGTCGAGGTGATGCTCCATCTGGGCACCTCTGATCTGCGGGAGCACAATGGCCTTCCAAAGCAGGAAGTTGCCCCGCGTAAGCTTCTCCTGTGGTGGCGATCCGAGGGAGGTGGTGCTGTGGGTGGAGGTGGAAGATGATGCGAAGGTGGAAGATGGGGTGGTGGCGAGCGCACCCATGGTGCTTGGAATCATGGCCGCGGTGGTGGTGGACATAGCGTCGGTCGCGAAGGTAGCTAGATGCAATCTCTCTCGATTGGATGAGGAAGAGGCTCTAATACCATGTAAAAGTATTTGGGAAGCGTAGAACCCTTTGTTTCGGGCCGCATGTATATATTGAGGCAAAGCCTTGGCATACAAGTTACAAGGGGAGATCGATGGAACGATCTGGAGATCGACCGGATAGGTCGTTACAGGAGAATCGGGAACAGAAGAAAGGATAGAGCTAGATACAGAATTTGAACAAAGACTTCTATCCCTATACGTATATTCCAACAGGCCCACCAGCCACCCCTATCACCGCCAACCGCCACACCATCTAGACCTGGGCAGAGAGGCCAGATACGCCGCCAGCTCGCCCCTGGGCTTCGGATCCCCACGAGCCGCGCCGGCTGGGGGAGGGGAGGCGGCGCAGACGGCCACCAAGACGCCGAACCGGAGCAGGGTCGGCCCAACACCCGACACCACCGAGCAGGGGGGAGGAGCCCCGCGACGCCCGCCACCTGCGCGCGGGAGGGAGCCGCCCCGCCAACGCCAACGCCACGCGGCCTTTGGCTGGCAACGCCCCCGGCAGTGGTGAGGGAGGGGGCTGAGGCGAGTGGTCGGGGGTGGTTAATCATGCTGGACCGAAAATTCTGAAACAATGTAGTACTAAAATCTATGTTGAACAAAAGCTAGAAATTTCATTTTCATGTATATATTTGATACAAGCCGTTCTTGTATGTGCCACACACCATCGATTATTTTCTCAGATTGTTATTACGTAACATTGTACAGCACTATCTTCTGTAGCGATGTTTTGTTCAGAGTTTTTGTACAATTGTAATGACACCATGCCGTGTCCAAAGTTAACCTGACTACAGCCAAGCTCAGCCACAACTTTCTGATTTCAGTAACCAACCACATTCTTCAAATACATTTTCCCGGGTGCCCAATTATATTTGAAGTGACACTTCCCATTTTCTTCAACAGGTACGTCGGCATGTATCCGCATGGTGACAAATACAGCACTGATTGCCTCAGCTTGTACTTATGCCTGGATGCCTCGGATGAGCTCCGTCTCGACCTGGATGCCTCGGATGAGCTCCGTCTCGACTCCAAGAAGGTGTTTATAATGACTCTATCCATCCTGGACCAAAAGAATGGGAAACACTTGACTGCAACTTCAGGTCCAGCTCACCTTAGCAAGTATCAGTGCCATTGATATGTGTGATTTAACCTCATGATGATTACAGTTGATCTTACTTTTGTCTTGATCACAGGTCTCTGGGTATGTAATAAAGGATGCGGATGGGGATGGCCTAACTTCTTTGGACTCAAGAAACTCAAGGAGCCGTCGGGAGGCTATGTTGTGGGTTCGAGCTGCATTGTGAAGGCAGATCTTACCATCATTGGTTCATCCAATGATGGCTAGATGTTTTTACATCATGGCCTGATGGAGAGATATGCTCTTTAATCCTAGTAGCTACTAATAACCAGACTTATATATGAGACAATGTTGTGGCAGCAGTGCTAAGAACTTGTGGAATGATTAGTAGTAGTAATGGGCCGGATTTGAGAAGTGGTATGATTTCACGCATATACATTTCTACGTATATGTGTCGGACAGAAATATGTTACTGGAAGTACTTGTATATGCATGGATGACACAGCTATGTCAGTCTGCTTGCCTCGCTACATGCATGTTGGATTCAGCTGAATACTCCTTGTTATCTTTCGCTTGGTTTCCCATGCGGGTCATGTCCCCAGTTGATGAATCATGGTTCAATGTAAAGCACTTTGCGTCTATGGCTTATTTTGAGAAGGAAAAAGAGGCTCTTTCCTTTGTCCGCCGTCCATTCGCTTCGATCTCCAGGAGGATTTCTCCAGGGGTTTGTTGTGGATAAATATAATATCCAAACTAATTTCTCCTTAGAGCTAGGAAGGATTCCGTTTTTTTCTCAAAAAAAAAGAGAGGAAGGAATCCCCACGATCACATCCTCCATATAAATGCCCCCTCTCGCCTCCATTCCCCAGCGTCGGCCGTCCAAGCCAGGTCTTTCCAGCTTCGATCTGGCCCCGAGACCAAGCCAGGTCTTTCTCCTCCCTCGCCTCCTGCTCTGCTGTCCATGGGAAATCCAGTCCTTTATTCGCCATTCTCGATCTTTTCACCTACCTCTCTGTGGAAAGAACAAACGGTTCCCGGGGCGTTGGGTTTTAGGGTTTTTCTACACCAAGGGTTTTAGGGGTTTTCACTGCAAATTCCAAGTTCCTGTAAATTTATCTACGGGTTTATGTTTATGGAGTGCGATTTTACTTCTTGATCTCTTATTTATTAATTAGTTCATCGGGGAAATTTTGTCCTCGGCAAATTGATTGATTTACATCCAAGTGATAAGTCATTAAGGAATGGTGATCTATCTTTGTGCGGCGTGGTTATTATTTCGTCAAGATTTGCACTACTCTACTTTTGGAGATTACTTACGTGCCCTGTGGTGCCTCCAGAGGAGGAGAGCAGAGGAAAGCCTGCCGGGGCTATGGGCAACACCGGGAGTACATGTATGTCTTCTTTGTCCTTTTTCTAGTTGAAATTCAGACTCTGCATATTATAAACGGAAGACACATACCAATTAGAGAGCTCATTTTCTAAAAAAAATCAGGTAAAAAGTATATGAATTGTAGCGCTTAATTCTTGTGGTCCTACAGTTCTAGGTATGCTGCAGAGAATGGAGTTATTGTCGTCGCTATCATCTTTAGTACTGCAACTAGCCAGACGATTAGCTACCGGTGTGGTGATTGCTCTTCGACTGGGCTTGTTGCGCTGGTGGCTCTTATGCCCCTGTGGTGCTCATGCAACAATCATCGATCGTGATCATGGTCGTCTGATCTGTGCTTTAGCTGCCACCGTGAACACCCATGGCTGATGACCAAATGCACACTTTTTTTTGCGACTCGAAAAGAAGGCATGCTAGATTTCTAGAGAACACATGCATACTTGCTGATTACAAGAAGCATTACTTCGGGCTATATATATATACATGTAGGAAGTACTATGACATGTTCCGTTCTATGCTTTTTTGGTCCAAGTGAATAACTATTCTCATAGATAGGGGGCCACTTATCACATTAAATCTGTTAAGATTGCATGCCTTCACGTATGTACATTATTTTCTTTATGGTTGCTTTATTTATAAAGCGAGGCGAAAGCCTTTTTCGTTTTGTACATTATTTGCATTTTCTGCTCAATGAAAAGATGTTCTGCTGCTTCCATATTGCCCATGGTAGATATTGCAGCCTGTTCTTCTGCAAATGCAAAAGCACATTAATTTTCTGAATGGTGCATACGTTAATTTCCTTTTCCTGGACTGGTATGTAATTTTGAGTTGCTGCCTTTGTGGAAATTTCAGCTCCTGCAAGCTTAGGAAAGTCTCATGTTCCACATTTACAATGGAAGGTTCATGACTTCTCAGCGCTACTTGAGACAGGAGCCAAGTCAGCAAAGTCTGCTCATTTTCACTGCTCCGGGTATAAGTGGTATGTATCATAACTGCAGAAGGATTTGTTACGCAATTACTATGTGTTACATGCAAATATGATGCTTCTCAGTCTAGCATTATTACTAAACCATTCATTCTGTTTTTAGTAGACAGAATTGCTATCTGTATGTCCATATGCAATACTAATTTAGGACAAAAAACACTAATTTAGGATGTGAATTACTCTCGCTAATCATGCTTCTATGAAGTCAAATTGTCTATCATAATAATTCCATTAACAAACATTTTGGTAGGATGCATGAAGTGAAGAAATCAGATTTCATTCTTACTTCAGTTATGACTACTTTGTTTTACTTTTTTTTTGTCCATCAATTGATTTACCAGGTTCCTGAAAGTGACACCACCAATGCATCAAAAACCTGGCGCTGAAACTCCATATGTTGGTCTTTCTCTTAAACTAGGCCGGACAACCCTGAAGCCGGGTGACACGGTAAATGCCGTGTTTGAGTTATCAGTATACAATCATGCAAAGAAGATATACTATGGACGCAAAGGTATTTTTTAATTGCTTCTTTGTGCACGTCCAACCTATTACTGTTGGGATTCCCTTCCCTAGTCCTTTGTGTCTATGCTACATAAGTTTGAGCTATAATTCTATATTGGGTTTTACATTGAACATGATACCTACGTGGGATTCATTATATTGCTGCCATGTTTGCATATTTGCGTAAAGGGTGTGAACGGAGGTTATACATTGTTTGGGGTATGTGCAGCTTACATGCAAGTTTTCACTCACTAATCTTCTAATCTTTTAACTGAATGCAGCTAGCCACAATTTTGATTTGAACAATACATGCTCAAAGGATGAATGTTTGATTCCTCTTCAGAAGCTACTAAAATCATCTGCTTTTCTAGTTGATGATAGCTGCGTCTTTGGTGTTAAGATATTGAAAATTAAAGTATGTTCTCCTGAAAGGAAGGGTGTTATGGTTCTGAAAAAGGCTACCACACTTCAGAACCTTTTTATCCAGAAGAAAGGGCTCATCAAAGGGACCTACACCTGGACCATGGACAACTACCATGAATTGGACTTGAAGCGCTATGTTTGTTCTCCTACATTTGAAGTTGGTGGACATAAATGGTACTCATATCTTCCATCAGTTACATATAAATGTTTTTTATTAATAATGTGCATGCAACATTAGTCCATTTATCATAAATGTACCATGCCATGTTACATTACTAATTTCGTAGTGGCCGGACGTACTTCTCCCGTGCTCTATGCCAACATACATTAGGGACATCCAGATGTCTGTGCAACACAAGTTCCATTGTCACTTGAGATATTCCAACTGAATATCTTAGCCCAATTTCTACGAAAGGAACCAAGCAACTCTTGTTCTAGTATATTTAGAGACACCCAGAAACACACTCCGATGCATCACCTAACGTGTTACTGAATATTCAGTCTGCAAACTCGATGATTATGTTTTGATTGCCACTCTACATGTCTGTGAACAGGCATGTTGGCATGTATCCGCATGGTTGCAGAAACATCACCGGCCACATCTCCTTGTTCTTATACTTGGAGTCCTCGGATAAGCTCTGTGACGAGTCCGGGAAGGTAGTTGAATTGACTCTATCCATCCTAGACCAAAAGAACGGGAAACACTCCACCATCACTTCAGGTTCAGCTCTCCTTAGCAACTATCAGTGACGACTATAATTTGCTACCTCCTGATTTCAGTTGATCTTACTTTTCTGGTGATCGCAGGTCTCTCGGTGTTTGGAGGTGATAGCAGCTGGGGATGGCCCAAGTTCCTTACAGTCAATAGATTCAAGGATCCGTCTCGAGGCTATGTCCTAGGATCGAGATGCGTCGTCAAGGCAGATTTCACTATTGTTGGCTCCTCCAATGATGGCTAGATCTTTAGCTCATGGCCCTTGCATCCTACTACTTGCTAGTATTGTGTCATATACTTGTTAAGTTTTTGCCATATTGTTTTGGAAGCAGTGCTAACACGACCATCATATGGTGCTAACGACAAACTTAGCACTGGAAGTTGAGAACATGTTATTTTTATTTCGGGCAGTGTGATGTTAGAAACTACTTCAATACGGATGATGCAATTATTTCGGTTGGCTTATTATCTCGCTAGTACTTCCAAGTATGCCAATGTTTCTTTTGTCCTTTTTCGAGATCCCAGTGGGTGTCAGGAAAAGACTAGACTTCTATAGATCTCGATTCTTCTGGCAAAGTGATGAATTAAAACGAAAATACAGACTCGCGAAATGGGATATCGTTTGCAGACCGAAAGACCAAGGGGGTCTAGGTATTGAAAACTTAGAGGTGAAGAACAGATGTTTACTCAGCAAATGGTTGTTTAAGCTATCTGTAGAGATGGAGGCCACGTGGGCGCAAATATTGGGCAATAAGTACCTTAACTCCAAAACATTGTCCCAGGTGATAGTGAGGTCGACTGATTCGCCTTTTTGGAAAGAACTGATGAGAGTGAAATCAGCCTTTTTCAACAGGACAAAATTTGTCCTTGGAAACGGTACTACCACGAGATTCTGGGAGGACACTTGGCTTGGGGAGACGCCCCTTGCATTCCAGTATCCCTCTCTCTATAATATTGTGCAGCGAAGAGAAGCTTATGTTGCAACAGTATTACAGTCTAACCCTCTGAATATCCAATTCAGAAGAACGTTAGCGGGAAATCATTGGGAGGCTTGGTTACACTTAGTACGACGACTCATGGAGGTCGATCTTTCCCAATAACCAGACCGGTTGATTTGGAAGCTCACACAGAATGGAGAGTTTTCGGTTAAGTCCATGTATTTGGATGTTATCAACTCTAGTGTGATTCCTCGTTCGAAACATGTGTGGAAAGTCAAAATGCCTCTAAAAATCAAAGTGTTTATGTGGTTTGTACAT